GTTGGATTTTATTTATCAAATCACTTTTGTCACTCCACCATGTGCATAAGTGTAATGAATGAGAATAATGTTCTCCTGACTCTATGCAGTCATATACAGTTAGCAGAATGTTAAACAGTGTACAAATATGCATACAGTTTACAATACAAAATATACATAATATACACTACTTTTTATTTTTAAAAGAATATCTTTTATCAGCAAGGACTCATTAAATTGGCTTTTATAAAGTTACAAAAACAAATCATGCTGTTCTTTTAAAACTTTGTTCATTAAAGAATCTTGAAAGAAAGCAGAACAACTATTTTTGGCATTGATAATAACAATAAATATTCTTGAGCACCAAATTAGCATATAAGAATGATTTCTGCAAGATCATGTGACTCTGAAGCCTGAAGAAATAGCTGCTGAAAATTCAGCTTTGCCATCACAGGAAAATACATTAAAATATTAATATTAAAATATATTAAAATATAAAAGCTGTTCTTTAAAACTGTGATAATATTTTACAATTATTAATACTGTATTTTTCATCAAGTAAATGCATAAGAAACTTCTTTCTTACCAACCTCAAACTTTTGAACAGTGGTGTACAAAGATTTTGAACTGAACACTTAAAATATACACACACATGCATAATATACAAAACATGTTAACTTACGATTTTTTTTTTATAAATGATGATCTGACATTTAAAAATTACTTTGATTTAAACTTGATTAAGTCATATTAAATAGTTTTTAGTTTAATAAAAAAAACAACTGACAAACGTTGATGACAAACAGTGTATTTAATGTGTCATATATGTCTGTGGTAGTGATCTGAACATACTGTACAGGTTAGAAAAAAGCAAATATAAAGTTGACATTAGGACCAGGGAGTTAAAGAAGGCAGCAGCGATTACTCCAGGGGGTGTTTCTCCTGCGATTAGTCTACTAAAGTTGGCACGAACAAACATTCTCTTGCATACCAACTGATTTCTTCAAAGCAACCACGTCATCTTAAATGATCCCCAGAGTTGGGCATCTGTTTATTATGAAATATGTCATGGAAAATCAGCAAGCATTCAGCATTTTTTAGTCTTATAGAATGACATTTAAAGCAGGGTCCACAGCCTTGAATATTCTCACGGACCGACTCATATGAACTTCCCTCTTTTGAATCTGATTTTCTGATGCCAGAGTAGAATCCAGTGTAACTTGCCTTAGAAGTCCCCTTCTTCCCCACAAACATGTGATCAAATCAAGCATTACATAAGATCTATGATGCCTGATAATGTAGTAATTTAATTGCTCATATGTTACAGTGAAGTCCATTTTGTAATTTTGTCAAGCAGTTCCACTAACAGGCAGAGGAACTGAAAATGTATGTGTGAGACAGAGACCTTTAGGATTTGAAACCTATTATAATGTATCTTTGTGTGAAGATGGACCATTGTTAGAGTGGTGGCGATTTAAGCAAAGCAGACAAGTAGAAGATGTCTTTTGGAGCTGCTCTACATAAACTATTGTTGTGTATGTGTTACTAGACAGTGACTCAACAGCAGTCACAGGATAATTAGATACTTACTGGAAACAACATCCTCTCCTTTTTGTATCATGGTGAGAATATAAACACCAAACAATTCTATTTAATCGCTGAAAAACATTTTCATTAGCTTAAAACCATGTGATATTCCGTCTCTGCACATTTATTACAAATCAAAACAAGTGAGGCAATCACGGAAAAATGTCAGAACTTAACTTTAAAACGACAAGGGGATCTTTGATGAAAATGGTCAACTCTGATGTCAAGTATTATTGATCTTGAAATCGTTTGTGATAGCCATTCATGTCACAATAAATATTTTGCCCATTCATTGAGCAGTGTTGTTATAGTTAACTAAAACTACTAAAAATATTATTTTTTTCAGTAATTGAAATAAAGCTGAAATAAAAATAAAACATAACTATTTATATTTAATTAAAAAAAAACTCTCTAAATTATACTAAAATTAAACATGTTTTCTGGGCAAATAACTGAAATAAATCAAAGTTGAAGTACCACATTTACTAATACTAAAACTGAAATAAAAATAAATTAAAGGGAAAAAAACGTAAACTAACAAAAGCGCATAACAAAATAACTCAAACTGAAATTGAAATTAAATTACAAATGGCAACTATAAAATAAAAGTATATAATAATAGTAATATAACAAATAACACTAAAATAACACTGTTATTGAGCGATAGTGAAGAAGCTTCAGAGTATTTTGTGACCTTTTTGATTTTTCTTTGAGACTGTCTATATGCTTGTGTACGTCTAAACATTTAAATAATTAACATTTAGTAGATATCTTTTTAGAAACAAATCAAATATATGTATAACTCATCCTGCACTGTAGATTATTGTCCAATCTCTAGAATGAGCAAATCATGGTTGATAGTTGTGGTGTAAGTAAAGTTTGTTGGGCTATTTAAAAAACAATTTTTGAAAATGCCTAAACTTCCTGTTTCAATATATACATCATTTCAACATGCGGTCTTTAAGTTGTGAGATGTCAACTTGGCCACTTTACGTGTTGTACTTAACTTGTACTTAACTTTTCCTCCCAATGTAAAACTACTATCACCCTTTACATGAACTCTGTAATTATAATGTCATGGGAATCAGAGATACTGGTTACAGCTGAGGTCAGAGGTATCGTTTCCTGGTAGTTTTTTTTTCCAGTCTTGACCTCTCCAGGGAGCTCAAATGACCCAGAGTGTATTCTGCTTTGGACACGACAGCTACTTCATGAAGTTGTCTGTCAGACTAACATTGAAAGTTTGTTACAAAGAATTTCCATTTACTATAATAAAGAAGTGCCACTCTGAGAATCATGTTCACAGTGAAAAAAAAACACAACTGCCAGTCAGTCAGTTTCCGGGCAAGTGGCTTGTCTGGCTTTGCGTCATCTGATTAGATTCTTTTGTTCAGCATTTGATGTTGAGGAAACAGCGGTTTTGGCTTTATATCATAAAGCCTATATAGTGGAAAACATGATCAAGCAGGCTGAATGTATATTAAAGAGAAATCACCTAAATTTAGGCCTGTTTCACATTGCGTTTATAAGCAGTGTTGTTTACTGGTTTGTCACACCCTTCCTGGATGTTCACACTTAAGCAGTGTAGCATAAGCATTATAGAATTAAGTTTTGTTGTAACTATTTTATAATTATGGGTGTTATTATAGAAAGTAATCAATGTAGTAGCCCAACAATCTCTTTATTTTCTGTATAGAGCCACAAGAGCAGTTTTTACTTATGTGTTGCTTGTGCATGCAGTCAAACGAGCGATCAGAACATTTTTTTGTGGTTTTCCTTATTCGTAGTGCAGTCTCACTGCTCATATCTGACTGATGATCTCATTTATCAAATATTTAGCTTTGTTGCTTTCAGTTGTATCGTACTTTTGTGTAACATTAACAGCATTATTAAAAATAATTATTTAAATAGCATGCTTCATAATGCATGACACGAAACAACTGCAACTGAAACCAGAAGAACAAATATCGAAGTGGAACAAGCTACACTGCAAGCAGAAATACAGAGACAAAAGATACACAAGATAGGAACATTTGCAACAAAATGAGGGATGAATTGATTGTAGTCACAAGACAGAGGCAGAATGCATAAACACTTCAGTAAGACCGAGTAAACTGATGCATTTATAATTGAGTTTTGAAGATGAAATTTCACAGAGATGCCGGAGGCAGGGAATTCCAGTGTCTAGAGGCTTTGTCGATTTATTGTTCAAGGAGGAAAATCTAAACTTCTGAACGTATTTTTGTTGGAATTATGTACCTAGAGTATAAAACAGCTGTACAGGCTGTTACTTTATTATGTTATTTCCCAACAATTATCCATAAATTCAGATCCCTTTTGTATCAAATCTTGGGTTAATATTCTTATTTACATATTTGAGGTGTCAGTATCATAGACTGATTAAACACAGCACACAAACTGTTTATATAACGACTTGTGTCGCTCTTGCACAGCACTTGTACTGTACAATCTATCTTGTCCTGAATACATTTTCCTAGACCATGGCTGCAAGAAATGTGCTTACTCGTTTTTAAAGATGCAAGTGTGAAACATTGCTTTGCTGGGTTTAAAAAGACTTAACCTGGGGTTAAATGCAGTGTGGAAACACACAAATGCTATTGATGGATGTTGTGAATGGCAGGCTAACAGGAAACAGGGCCACAATAGGAGGATGTTGATTCAGTGTTAGCTGTTGGTTGACCTCTGCGTGGATCAGGCCACTCCGCGACATCTCAGTAACTCTCATTATCGTTGGAGAAATATTCATATTCATGCATGTATGTGTGGTTTGTATGTTGTAGTAAATTTCCATTGGTCAACGGCAGCAAAACAAGGAACTGGTTTTGAATGGTTCTCCTATTCCCTATTTTTTTTTTTTTAACTTTGAGACTCTCCAGTGTTTGGAGCAACACTGAAAGGTCACAAACCTCTGGCGCTCTGAGCGTAAAGACCATCGCTACTTCCTCCCTGTTAGCTCTGAAATCACAAGCACATCTGAACCGAACACAAGCGTCTTTTAAAACTGTTTATTTGACTTGAACGTAATGTGTTTCCCCTTGCTTCTCTTCTTTTTGATGTGGGCTGAGACCATCTCCACTATGTTTCCTTATGGTTTGGAAAGATGAGACATGCTTCCGCCCCAAGTGCTGGGAATCTTTGAGACTTTCCAGAGCTCTCCGGTCCCAGAGGACAGCTTGTGTATTTCTCCTGAAATTTTCATTAAGCTATATATATCTTTGAATCTTGAGGATGGCCAAGGTGGATCAGTATTGACTTGTTTTTGGTTTCGATCTAACAGTCTTAATCTTCAGTAAGAGAAAAGTGTATTAAGTGACAGAAATAATATTGTGTATGAATGACAGCATTCCAAGACCATTAAAGAGGTGTATGTGTTCTTACCTTAATTTTAATGTACTGTTTTTGTGCCATTGCAGTTTCGATGTGGAAAATGGCCCATCTGCAAGCTGTAGTCCTTTGGACCCCCAGGCCTCACCAGGTTCTGGCCTGGTTCTACACACAAACTTTCCCGGCCACAACCAGCGGCGAGAGTCCTTCCTCTACCGCTCAGACAGTGACTATGACCTCTCACCAAAGTCGATGTCTCGAAATTCTTCTATCGCCTCAGAACTGTGAGTAAAGTTGTTTTAAATGTGGTAAGAGCTACTTATTAAACCTGTTGAAAGCAACATTTAAAGCCAGCCTGAACTGGTTTGCTGGTCTTGTCTTATATCAGCTGTGACCAGCAAACATTCCTAGGTCGGTTTAAGTTTTTCAAGGGAAAAATGTGGCATTTTGTGGGGTTTTCCTGCACATTGCATCTGTTAAGGATGGATATATTGTAGTAAGTTCAGTTACTTTACTTTTCTTTTGTACTTTTACAAACAGTAATAACTGAATCATCTTCGCTAATGAGCCACGTTGCTAGGAAAGCACTTTAATTTATTTGTCACCACAATTAAACCATCCAGCATCTGGTAATCTGAGGACTTTGAAGTTGTTTAATATGCCTCTTTCTTCATCAACGCTAGTACTTCTGTTTTCAAACATTTCTGCGGGGTAAAGGTGGAGGCGGGGCTGATTAGTGGAGTTGATTTATGCGCTGCTGCTCACGGCAGTGACATTTGCATGCCAGAACATATCTCAATCAAAACCTTATTTCTCAAGCCTTCTGGCAGTAACTGCCTGGAATTATATAAGAACGCATTTTCCAAAGTCTTAGATGCCAAATATCTGTTGAACCCTGAGGAGTGTGCTGGATTGTTCTTGGTAACCCATTTTTTGGTGGCATTTAGGGCCCTGAAACGGAAAGGAACCTCATCTGACAATGAGTCTAATGAGTGAGGTAGTATTACTGACTAAAAATTAGATGTTTACCATGAAAAAATGCAGGACGGGAATGTAGCCAGACCGAATAGGAGTTTGCTAAAATAATCAATAGCTATTTGGTTATTGGTTACATTTCCAGTAGTCTGCATGGCGTAAGTGATGTCAAAGTCATTTCAGAAAAAGAGCCGGTCTTCTTTTCTGGAATAACATTCGCCATTGAATCATTCACAATAAGACCAAGAACATCTATTAAAAAAGTAAATAGGATCAATTTTGTTTTCATGTTGACTTTAAATTATAGTGTATGCTTTGTTTGAGTGTCGCTTAAGATGTTAATGTATTCTCACTTGATTACAGGCATGGGGATGACTTGATAGTCACACCTTTTGCTCAGGTAAACACATCAGTGTCATGTTTCTTTGAGGATAACGTTTCAAATAGACGTGTGCTTGGTTTTACCTCACAGTTTTTGTCTGTTTCTAGGTTCTAGCAAGCCTTCGAAGTGTCAGAAACAACTTTACTGTCTTGACCAACGTTCAGTGCACATCTAACAAGTGAGTATTATTGTAAACAGAAGCTGTATCTTCATCTAAACTTAAATAGACAATACAAATAAACTAAATTCTAACTTTTTGTCTCTAAAAATAGCAGATTTTTAAATGATTGTTTCTATGTTCCAAAAAATACTAATTCTGTTGATTACAGAAATGTTTGCGATATTTTTGACTTGCCTCATAGTAAAAAAAAATGTGCATGCAGTAATGGACTTGTCTGTGGGGCAAGGTGTTGTATTGGAATACAAATAAAAAATTTAAATATGTATTACAAATTACACCACAACATTTTATACGTGTTTACATGAGACTTGCGTGATAGAATCTCTTACCAGCCTGAAGAATAAAATTGCTTCACCTGTGGAAAGTTAAATCCAATCTTTTATCACCTTTGACAATACAAAGCTACTAAACCTTGTCACTTTCACATGCTATCTGTAATGAAACCAGATTGGAATATGATATAACTATCCACAAAATACTGTTTACATGGACCAAACTCCACCAACAGTGATGATTTCAGCAGCGCAGACCAAATACAAACTTGAACAGTATTCTTAATGTTGCTAAAATGCCATTTTAGCCTTAAAAGCTCAAATAGCACACTTTTATTGTATGAAATTATTAATATGTGCTTCACATCTCTTGTTTTTAAGCTTTATAAAATGTAAATTATAAAAAAAATAAGCTTCATAAAAGTAGTAATATTAGTGTTCTTAATTGATTAAAATAGTTATAGTTATTATTATTAATTATAAATATATATATGCAGTATATATATATATATATATATATATATATATATATATATATAT